TTTAATATATCAAGAATTTATGTATAAATACTGAAATTCCTAATAATTGTGAATCTCATGTTTCACGTATTCGCCAGGCAAGTTGTATTGGGATTCTTGCTGTACGAATGGCCAATTTACAATTAGCAAATAAAAATAAACCAGTAAATTTTCAATTAGCATGCCATATCTTTTTGAAACGCGAAACGGCAGCTATGCGTGTGTTACCAATACCGCGATCGACGTTTCCATCTTCCAGATCATGTTTTATTTTCTATATAAATGCAGTTCTTAAAACATAAAGGAAAGGAATCCATTTGTAGAGATTGAATCCTTTTCATTTCTCTGATGCTCGAGTGCATCGGACGAATAGAAATAATTCGTAAAGTTTACTGAATCATGTTTTGCACGGCAATGGGATGTCACATCCTCCTTCCACCTATGAGATAAAACATCCCATTTTTATTATTCGAATCGACTCTGATGCTGATAAAAAATCTTTGATACATCCGTCTGGGGTCTATTTTATCTCAAAGATTCTAATGATGAAAAGTCACGTTGCCATAAAGTGAAAGACGGATGCTGCGTTTGACAGACACAAGTACCCACGATATGAAAAAAGAAGAAATATGTTCCTCTTTATTCCAAGAGCGGTATGAGTATAGCACGCACGCCTTAGTACGACAGAAATGATGCCATAATGCTGTATTAGAAAGCGAAAGGGAACACGCTAAAAGCGATACAAATGCGTATATATTTGTTCGTATCGGAATTTTTTCCCATGACGACGTTCGTCACGCAATCGATCCGTATCGCGGAGTCCACCTATTTATTAACGTTGTTTTCCTACACTTCACTCCTAGTGGTGTTTCCTTGGCCGTTTTATCTTTCTGTCGTCCCGTTTATTTTCCATAATTTCTTGTCAATCTTGCACCGATCCTTGAATCTCTTTTTTCCTTCCCGACAGTACGTGAGCGTCGTCTTTTCGCAGAATCCGATCCGTCGCAGAAAATCGGACTTGGAGTAATTAAAAGTATATCATGCCGATACTGCCATATGTACTACGTAAGGAACAGCGATTTGGTACGAAACTCACGAATCCGCCTTAATCACGTTGTTTGCCTCCTCACGGCACTCTCAACCTCATCATCCTGTAAGTTTTGACTTTTCCATTTTTCTCTTGAGCTGATTCGTGCTTTTTACGTCCGGATATGCTGATCATGATTATTATTATTATTATTATGAAATGTATAGAGTCTACTAAACGCCTTATTTATTTTATTATCAAGACTAATGTAGCTCCCTCTCATCCACGGCAAAATTTGTTGCTTCAATTTATCTTTGTTAATCGTGCAGTGTTGCTTTAACAATTTCTCTTTGATATATCATGACGCAACTTTATTTACTTGCATTTCAATTGATTGAAGATTATTTGTATACATATAAACGCAGAGCCTCAAAATTTATTTGCGCTTTCGAACAACTCAATTTTACTAAATTTAATGAATTCTCTTTCACAGAATCTCCTTTTAGTGTATCTAAATTTCGAATGGTATACATAGAAAATCAACCAATAAGGATAATAATAATAAGAACATTAGTAACGATAGTTAGATATAATGCCGATTATGATCAAAGAAGTACCTCTACTCTTTTTTGTAACTCATTAAGCCGATATTTCATCATTATATTATCTTTCATTTTAATTTTCATCTTTTCTAATGTGGATCGATTAAATTCCTCCAATACTTCACACGCGATTCTTCAATCAATCTACAACTTTCTAAAAATATCGCAAGTGTTATGACATGCTTTTATCTATAATGTTCCTGTTTTTTTTTTAATCATTTTTTTAATCTCTTCTTCGAAAATCCTTATCTCGTGTGAAGTAAACGAGGAAGGACCTAGAAATTGGAAGCTCGTAATCTTTATTAATAATCGTACATGATATATAGATGAAATTGTTCGTTAGATAGTAATTAATTGACCTTGTGGTGTCGCTCGCCTTAGCTTTTGCTAGCTTACGCTTCACCACACGGCCAGTTAATATCTGAGAGAAATTAAGCGAAGAGGGGGAGAAAAATAATAATTGTAATGAAATCATATTTTATAAGAAGACGTAATTCCGTAAGAACACTATAGCAATGAGAAGTCTATCTAATACTAATAGGCAAAGCCCATAGGCCGGCCAGGTGGACGAATGAAAATAATTTTAAAAGTGGATTAATTTTAATAATAACGATAATATTAACAATGTTATTTTTTAAGTGTAAGTACTGTCATCCCATCGCTCCTTTCCTTCTCTCCTGCTCCTGCTCCTCTTCCTATTATTCCCTAACTATATTACATATATGTGTATATATCTCCGTTTATGCACGAACCCACAAAATACGTATATACATGTATATGTACTTATATATATATATATATATATATATATATATATA